TGCAATTATTATCATTACTGTAAAACTTAGGAAAACAATATATGATCCCAGGGGGATCACTCAACGAAGTTTGGGGACCTTAGACGGACTATGTGCAAAAAGGTTTTTGGCAGTTTTCTTCCTGTCCTTGGGCCTGCATGTACTTGTGTATTTCATTGAAACCATCAGAAATTTCAAATGTAGTTTCTGGTAAAAAAACCTGGGTTTTTTTCTTGCTTTAGTAAATGTATAAAAATGAAAACAAGTCATATGTTCAACCATTGGCATGATTATAATAAGTGACAACGCTCTCTAGCATGTTATTCACAACGCGTTTTTGCACTTTTATAAGTGATAATGCACTAGCGCAAGGTCACGACGTGCTAGTGTGAAGTGACAACGTGCCGGTGCGTTGTTTCTTACGCTTGATGTTCTTTTGCATGTGACAACGAGCTATCGCAAAGGGCATGACAACGCGCCGGTGCGTTGTTTACAACATGCCAAGATGACCTATTGCTATATGTTTTCGTCCGTCGTCGTCGTCTTGCGTCTTCCGTTGACATTAAAACTTTTTCAACTTCTCTGAAACCGCTAATTTCAATCAGTTTTGACATATACTGTATACACTATATCACTTTTTATTCGCGATAACTTTATTTTCGCGTATATACGCGAGACAGTGTATTCGCAAAAATCTTATTCTCGCGTATAATGGTATTCATCTAGATTAAACAAAGCAATAACCACAATTCGTGAAAAATTTGTCTCCCTAATCATGCAAGAGTCGATGACTATCTCGCGAAAATAATGTGTCGCGAAAATGTTGTGATCTACAGGACTAGCAACTTTTATGGACGAAAGGAAACAAAATTGTGAATTTCATGGTCCCTGTCCTCCTGGGTCCTGATGAGTGGGTCAAAAACCACTAAATTTAATACAGTCTTTAAAACACCTGGACGTCAAGCAGTCAAACTGTTGGCGTGATTGTAATAAGCATTGAGCTCTCCATTAAAATTGTGAAATTTATGGCCCCTGCTGCAGGGGTTCTGGTGCTAGTGTGGGACTCTTACTGTTGAAATTATAGTGAAAATGTATTATTGTACTAATATTTCTCGAAAATTCTTCTCCTCTGCTCCTGCGTATTAAGCCGAACTATGTACGTAGTTTTAATAAGGAAGGGTTTCTCTCCTAAAATTGTGAATTTCATGGTTCCTGGTTCAGGGGTGCTGATGTTAGGACGGGGCTCAATTGATCATAATGTGAAAATTCTTTGAAAGTCTTTTCCTCTGTTCCTGGTTATTGCGCCGATGAAATATGATGAGCAATAGTGCTTCTTCGAGAATTGTGAATTTCATGGCCCCTGGGTCAGGTGTTCTGATCTCAGGGCGGGACTCTGTTGATTGTGTAGTGAAAATGTATTAATTCTTTGAAAATCTTCTCATCTACTCCTTGGTATTAAACCATAAACCATGTATAGTTATGATAAGGAAAGATGTCTCTTCCCAAATTTTAATTTCATGATCCATAGGTCAGAGGTTAGGGTGGAGCTTTATTGATTTAATGGTGAAAATGCTTTTTAAATTCTTTGAAAGTCTTCTCGCCATGGGTGTTATGCCGATGATCTATGTACATAGTTATGATGAAGAAGTGAATTTCAAGTTTGTACCTATAAAGTTGTGAACGTTTATTTATTTGATCTCTCATTGTCCACAGTCCGTGTACCACTTTAGTTTCTCCAGATATTATGCGGAAACAAAAATGTTAAATAAGATAGAATGTATGAGGTTATAACCTTAACCTTTGATATCAAAATCAATAGTGTTCTTCTTTAGACCAAAGGAAGTTGATATATAAAATTTTATTGCAAAAGCTCGAAACATTTGCGATATTTCGCGCGGAAACGAAAGTGTCACAGACAGGCAGAAATACAGACAGGCAGACAGCTATAGACGGACAGAAGGACAGACAGACCCAAATCAATATCCTCCACTTTCACTGAAAGCAGGAGAAAATAAAGTTGACAAACTCTTGTCAAAGTGTAACAGTGTATGACTTTTGATTTAATGTCTTTAACTTTCTTTATTAGCAGATTGTTCGAGTAAATGACAGACAGACGGATAGATTGAAAGAAAGTCAGGCAGTAATTAGTCTATTAAAATCGGATTTTTGGATCCGCCCTTTTTTATTATTGTTGCCTCACCTCGTTAAAAAAAGGATTGGGTCTATGATCAGATTTTAATCTGTTTGAAATCGATGGAAGACGGACATGTCTTGTTTATATTAGTGGCGTTCATAAAAATAGTCTAAGACAAGCTAATTCAGAGAATCTGTCTCCCCTGCTAAAGGAAAAAAGAAGTGCTAACCTGGGAGGGGGCTGGGACAATCTAAGACGGGTGGGAGGGGCTTAGAAAAATATGGTATAAAATTGAATTGCAAAAATTCAAAAGCTTCCTGAAATATCGCCGGAAATGAAAGTTTTACACAAATACAGTCAGAATATGTAAATTAACGACCTTGACCTTTTGACCCTAATAGGGGGTTGTAGTATAAAATGTCATTACAAAAGTTCCAAGGCATCTCGAGATATCGCGCAGAAATGAGTGTTAAAACAGATTTTTGAATATCTGACCTCGACCTTTGACCTTTTTACCACAAAATCAATAGGAATCTTCCTTTGGCCATAGGGAGTTATTGTGTAAAATTTCATTGCAAAAGCTGAAAGGCTTCTCGAAATATCACGTGTAAAGGAAAGCTTAACAGACAGACAGAACTACAGACGGACAGATAGACAGCTATACGAACAGGCAGACAGACCGAAATTAACATCCTCCACTTTCAGGGGGGGGACAAATATATAGGCACTTGTTTTTTTAAAACATTTTTTTTAACCATAGTTATTATAAATGGGCCAGGGGTTCTTGTGTTAGGGTGGAGCTAATCTAAATATGAATGACAGAAACAAGTGTCCATGCTCAAAAACAGCAAGGCTCCGCTGAAAGTGGTGGATACTAGTATTAATTTCAGTCGGTCTGTCCGTCCGTCTAGCTGTTTGTCTGTCTAGCTGTATTTCTGTCTGTAACGCATTCGTTTCCAAGCGATATGTCGTGAAGCTTTTGAACCTTAGCCATGAAATTTTACACAATAATTCCCTATGGCCTAAATAAAGATCCGTATTCATTTAGAGGTCAAATGGTCAATGGTCAAGGTCATAAAATAAAAAAAATATATATCTGTTTTAACACTTTCGTCTCCGCGCGATTACTCGAGAAGCCTTTGAGCTTTCGTAATGGCATTTTATATCAAAACTCACTATGGTCCAAGGAGGACTCCTATTTATTTTGAGGTAAAAGGATTCAAAGGTCAAGGTCGTAGATTATATCGTATTCTGTGTGTGTAATACTTTCATTTCCGGGTGATATCTCAAGAAGCTTTTGAGTTTTTAAATTTTATGCTATAAATCCCTTTTTTTCTTTAGCGGGTGACACAAATTCTCTGAATTAGCTTGTTCATATTATTGAAGTTCAATACATACAGTGTGAATTTAAGTTCATCTATAGTCTAGCCTGGGTCAAAGAATTTTTTTCATGTGAACAAAAAGGGGTAAAAACTTTCAAAGTCGACCAAGATTTTTTTCTGTTTACTGATTAGCATTTTCTAATAAGCGTGTCTGAAATGGTTATTTTAAATCCCAAAACTCGAATAGGATTTACAGTATTAAATGTGAATCTGTTATGATTTTATTGTGAATCTATAGTCACCCCCTTTAATACATAGCCACTTTAACCACTACTATAGTTAAGTTATCCTGAGTTATACGTGCATTCCTAGTATACGATTAACTTGAAAAATCGCGAAGATCTGGAATATGCTGGTTGTATCTCTTGATTTATTTCCTCATAGGGGAAAACCTCGCTGGAGTCACTGAAATCTTTGATGTGGAAACCCACTTACATATATACATCAGAGAGTTGACTGAAATAAAATGCCCAACCTTTGTGAGTCATTTCATACAGTATAAAGAAATAATTTTTATGAATGCTTTCAATATCTGATTAGGGCATATTTATTTGGGTCTATGTACCATACATACAAAATTTATAAGAAAAAAAATGAATCATCCTAATTTTTAATTTTCATTATAGTTTAATTAAAATATAATTAATACAATAAAATATATCCATTTTAATATCTCACATTCTTTTATTATAGCCTACACGTATAAATTTAAGTTTCATTGTTAATAAAGAAAAATTTCAATCTATCATCTCAGTCAGATAGTCCTTTCTTGAGCCTGCGATATTTTATTTTGGTGCTTTCGTGCACAGGCACCTGACGTTATGTACATTTGTTTCTTTTAATAAAAATATACCCCCTACCTAAAATTTAAAAAATATACCCCCTACCTATAATTAGGTCGGGGGCATTTTTTAAAAAAGAAAAATAAGTAACGTCAGGTGCCTGTGCATTCATGCATTTAGAAATATAGAACTGTCATTAACAACTCCTTGATTTCAGAGAGAGAGAGAGAGAGAGAGAGAGAGATTTAAATTTTGAGCTAAAGAAAAAAGAAAGTTTTTAATTCAATTTTACACACAACTGCTTTGACCAATTAACGCGATAAAAGTTGGAACATGCAGACTGCTCATTGCAGGTGTAGCTTTAAATTTCAGTCGCATATCTTACATTAGACCAGATAAACAAAGAAATGCTGATGTAGCAAAGATTTATAATATAGAAATTGTATGTTTTAAAAAATACGATTTTCCTATTAGAGCTTCTGGATGGAAAATATTTGAAATTCAAGAGATTATTAGCAACCTGTCACAAGAGGCGGATCTCATTTTTCGTAAGGTGTGAATCAATAATCAGGTAATTCAAGTTATGAAGTTGTGATCCATTCAAGTAAAAGATAAATAAGTCAATATTTTTCGTGTCTCCAAATCACTTATTTGTTTAATCTTTTCTCGACATTCCAATGCTACATTATTTCGGTGTAGCGGACCGCGGAGGAAAATATGAATCAATTGAGTTGTTCGGCCATATTGTATTTGTTCCGCCATTAGAAAGAGTGGATGTGTTTTGACTTTACTTCGATATGGATTCCTGTTTATGTTATGTTTGATTGGAGTTCAGATGTCCCTTCCTCAGTACCTGTTGACTATTACAAGTCAATTAACGAGGAGGACTTTTGCCTCATGACTTGGATTTTCCGATGGAAGGCGATCAAAGAAAACAACAGCGCTTCACAAAACGCCGCGAAAGAGTGCACAGTAAGCTAGACCCGGACGGGGGCAAAGATGAAATGGACAGTTCTCCCTCGCGGTCGGATTGCGACAAACCCAGGGCCAAGCCACCCCGACGACGGAGAAACCGCTCCCATTCCCATGACGAGGACATCATTGATGGATTTGCCATCCTAAGTTTTAAATCTTTAGAAGATTTGGTAAGTTTGATAAACTGACTTCAGTCAATCAGTGACTTCCAACATTTTCTACACACCATATATATTAGCCTACCATGTGTTTTGTTTATGTTGGTGCCTTGAAAACATGTATTAGGCTAAGTACTGAAAGTATTAAGATGTTTTTGCTTCACCAAGAGATGTAGGACGAATGAAGATGTAATTTAATCCGAGATTCCTCTGACCACCCTAATCATAAATAATCTCTCCCAGGATATTGTGCATTATGGTCTGACATTTCTGGTTTCACTAAATTCAGTATTGTTCTCATTAAGTGCAATGAGCTACAAATTTATTTAAATGGATTTTACTCTGTCATTTGTATATTTATCATGAAATTTGTAATCAGCTGATCAGCAAGCTAGACAGTCCTGATTAATTATCATGTGTATTGAACTACTATCAAAGGGAGTTGATCAATTATTCTACTGTCACATTCTTTTGACTTTTGCCTGCATAGTAAATGACCATAAAATGCATTAGGATTAAAATAATATTTTTTTTTATTATTATCATTGTCCAAACAATAATGTGTGCCATAATGTTTATAAATTAGATTTCAATCATGCATGTACAACATTGACCCATGTCAATGTAACAAACAAAGCACAAAAAGAAGAAGAAATCAAAAGGGTGTAACATAAAAGTGTATTTGATTTGAAACAACATTCATTTTTTTCCTTTTTGATTCAAAAAATATTAAATGTATACAGTTATGTACAGATTACATTTGGTGGCAGTATGACTAAAAAAAATTCATTCAACAAATTTATTAATTTGAAAAATGTATTCGCATGCAATCATTGAAGGAAATAATGCACATATTTTAGTTTTTGGGGGTCTGAGTCAAACAGTGTCTGAATTTGTCTTACAAATATTTCTAGCATAAAAAGTTTTCACAATCATTAGTAAGGAAAACAAACTATGATTCGATACAGAAAAAGTCTTTTATGTTGAAAAGTTTGGGTGATAATCTTGTGAAAGATAATGATCCAAATTCAAGACATCATTAAAAAATATCTGAAATATTATGATCAAGATAGCATAGCTTTTGAGTTACTTTGTCTTTGTGGGAATGAAGTAGAATCTCAGTCTGAGAAATTGTCCATGATAAGGCAAATTTTACAGATATACTACAATTTTCAAAATGAAAGCAACCTAGTAAATTTCAACCATTGCGATTGTATTTGTAAAGTCTAAGAATAAGGGATACTTTTCAAGGGTAATTTTCAATAAAATTCCTTAGAGGTGATAATGAAAACTGATTTATTTTAATAAATGATCAATCTAAATATATGTAGATGATAATATGTGGCGTCATTATGTATTTAGCAACTTGTTCATTTTCAGTGGATGTAATTTACACCGCACAATATTAGTGTCTGTGGTATATCATGAAAAAGACTAGCAAAACAAAATTGTACATTATGTAACATGTATAGACTTCGAAACTTCATACAATAGGACTATCAAAGTTAACAAGTACACCTTTACAAAGTTTGTAGACAATCAAATCACTCTTACTGAAGTTTTATTTGGTGCCATCTTCAAAATTCTGAATTCCTAGTCTCAACAACAAACAATGTTGAATGAAGAAATATATTGATATACATAATACATGAAACGTTTAATGTGTCAATTTGATGAACTTTAAAGTGTCTGTCTTACTGAAAACGTGTAAAGGCAGTGTCTAATTTGATCCAATATAAAGTATTCTTTCCCTGTTGCACAGAAACAGATTAAAATTTTCAATCATGCATTTCCTCTTGTTGCTCTGAAGTGAACCAATACTCAAGTAGGTGTACAAATATTATAGTGTAAACTGTAGATAGTTATACAGTGTTAGATGATTCTGATAAAAAACCTATACAGCTTCAAATGACAATAGTTGTTTTGTTGAGTTCATAAATGAGTTTTCATATTGATAGAAACATTTTTCAGTGCACCTTATATATTAAATTCATCCAGTGGTAATACTTGAAGCTAATTGATTGATGCATGCATGCCTTGTCAACTCACAGCATACAAGAGAACAAAGGAAAGTCTAACAATATTTTTATCGTTTGTACTTTGCTTTCAGAACAACTTGATGAAACCCTCGAAAACCATTGAACAGAAAGACAAAAAGAACGATTTTGTTAAAAGAAAGAAAAAGAAGACGAGAATAAAGGTAGTGTTGATATTTAGCGATTGTATGTCATTAAGAGGATGGTTACATAATAGGGGCTGCGATCAGAATACAGAGGCACTAGAAACCTGAATTGTCAGGCTTGAACCTTCTAAACAAACATCAGATTTTGTTACAACATCTGACAAAGCACAGGTTTAGCATTGTTAACATTTTTTTTTAAAAAATGAAGGGTCCATAAAATAAAATAAAAAAAATCAATTGAGAACAGGTGACATATGCAGTTGGAATGTGTTGAATTATAAACATGTGTTTTGAGTTTTAAGATTTGTTTGAGGGGAATTTGAAGGCAGGATAAAATTAAATGATCAGTGAAGGTGGTTATATTGACATAAGTTTTGACTACAGATTTTTTTTATGTAGTGGATGTGTTGTTGAGATTCTGTTTGATTAAGAAGACTTTTACAATTGAGTAGCCAGTTCACTTTAAACTCAAGTTGATTCATGTTGGGAAAATGTGTCATTCGGATATTTGTGAATTCTATGAAAATTAAACAGTGTCAAGGTTTCTTATAATCATTCCACTAAAACCAATTTATTACCCCCACACCAATATTTTCTCTCTGAGTCATTATCCCCATTTTTTTATCTGATTGTCACTATAATAAATGACATGCAAAGTAGTTACACAAATATGTTTTCTCACATTATTTCTATCAGCTGGATTCACCAAGTAAATATGTGGACATTCTTTCACTGTTTCTCAACATGTCATCAGTGTGCTTCATACACAAACCCCTTTTCCCCCAATACCCCCTTTTAAAAAGATTTGAGGATAAGTCGCTGCTATAAACAGAAAGGAGTGACACGGTTAGAAAGGACAGGCCTGGGTCAAAGGGTGGGTAATGAGAGAGATGGATGAATTAGTCCGCTGTATAGGAGCTGTCAATGAGAAAGACTCGCGCACATCATGACAGGAGACTAATCATTAGCTCACATGCAACTGATAAGAATTCTGGGAGAGAAAAAAAATGCCCTCTCGGAGCAATGATACAGTGGATTACATTGTCATGTTTTTAATTTCATATGCATGCCTTTAATGTTAAGCTAACCACTTTTAATATCTTTATTCCTTTTAGAGGGGGAGTCACACACCACAGTGAAAATAAGTGTAAAGCTCAGGGGGGAGGCTCAGTTCCACTGTGTCTGGAGCCCGTTATAAAATTGGCTCAATGCTTGATTTAATTCGAGATAGATTTTGTGTATAGTGCAGTCATAATCAGAGGAATGGTAGCCAGGATTATGAGAGGTTAGCTGTAGGCTCCTCTTTAAATGTGTGCACTTTTCAGATTCATTTTGCCAAGCTTGATGATTGCCCTTTTCGTTTCCTTCATAATGTGACATTTTGTTATGGATTCAAAATGTTACATCAGTATTTTTTCTGATACAGAATATTTCTACCATTATATCTGGAGTCAGTTTAGTTGCTGAGAACATACATGTCCCATTTATCCCTTGATAAGCTCTTGATTATCAAGACATTTTACCCTATGCAAATTAATTTTGATTTTTCGTTTATGTGTGACTGTCTAATTTGCATCAATATTATGGTCTTACCCACTGGCCAAGGCTCTCTTTGAAGATAATAGGGCTATGTAATAATATTGATATTCCAGTGTATTGAAGTTTGTTGCCAAAAAAATATCTCGATTGCAATACAATTTTTCAGTACTCCATTATACCAGCATATCACTTGGGCTTTGGATTTCTTTAAAAAATATGAAATGTGAGATGTTGAAAATGTTTGCAACTAAGCCAAACAGTAAGGTTGCCATTGGTTTGTTGCATTTCTGATTTTCAGTGCAAAACAACAAGAACTTTTTTAAATCATAGATACTAGATAGACGTACACAAATAAACATTTCATGCTTATAAATGGAGGTTAAATGAAAAAGAAAAGATCATCTTAACATTTAGTGAAAATATTGCAATACATATCGTAATACATTTAAAAATATTTAAGTTTATTGCAATCAGAAATTCCCGGCTGATACCCAGCCCAGGATAATTCTTATCCCTCTGAGTTACCTCCCCTAGATCCACACGTAGGAAATTTCTGTATATTAGTAATTAATAGTACAATAAAATATTTGGTGATTGATGACATTATATCATCATTATAACACTGTGTCATCGTTTTCTGGTTGTTAATGAAGTGAGATGTTAAGATTAACAAGTGCTCTGATACTTGTAATCTGATAAAATTAATCATCAAGTTAATATTTTGCAAGCTGCTTTACTCTTCTACTTAGGACAATAGAAGTGCTGAAATTTTAGTCATGTGGTAACTACCCTGTCCACTTTACTGTAAGTTAAATTTTGACTTTGCACATGTTAATTGTATAATTTTCAATATCAGTTTTAGGCAATAGTTTGACTGGAATTTATCTAATATATGATCTTGAAGATAGTACTTAGAATTAGAGATCGTGGAAGAAAAAAATGCACTGTTAATTGTAATTAATTTCAAATGTTATGGTGCCAGAAAACAACGACCTGTGTCTAAGCTTGATGCACAAATATGCATGCCTTCCTGGGAGGTCTAGAACTGAAGTAATCTTATGATTCAACTAAGACTGAGGAAGAATTATGAAAATTGAAAAAAATCAACTCGGTTTTCAACTTTGGAGGAAAAAGATGCAGCTAAAAGTGCAGTGATTTTTTTTTATTAAGCTTTATTCTTTACTGTGCATTATGAACAAGAAAAATTTCGTTTGGTCAGATTTACTTAATCATTCACTTTCTTAATTTTTTTTTGTTGAACATGTTGAAAAGTTCATTTGATTTTTAAAAAAATTATTTTAAAAGGAATGAATTTAAATTCAAGTGTATGATACAAAGTCTAATGGGAAAATTGATTTTTATGAAATTCTTGATGAGGAAATTGATTTGCACCAGTAATGTATTGGATTATAATATAAAATAGATATATATTAAAGGTAATACTACCATGCGTTAAATGATTATTAACATGGATTGACATTAACAGTGTAGAATTGCATATAATTTACATGATATTTCCTGAGCCAGAGATTTAAGGATAATGAGGACTTGTTAAACATATTGGAATTGTAGTTCCTATGATTCATTATTGATGATAATTTCAGGTTTTCTCATTCTGCTAACCTGCACAGATTCCTAATGTTTATGATTTTAGATTGTTGGGAATGATTTTATTCAAATTTCAAGCATTAGCAAGTTAGGGTTAGGTAAACAGAATTTGACTTATGGAACAGTTTTTTTGAATAGTTGACCTTTGTACACAGTAGCATTCCAGCTCTTCTAAATTCCCCTGAAATTTTTTGTGTGCTAAAAAATGTCTTTCATCTATCCATTTTGTATTTTTCATAAAATAGTGTGATGCATAGAGTTAATATTTTATGCTTTTGTATGTAATAATAGAATGTGCAATATTACTAACATTGCACATCTTATTAAGCATGAAGATGTTAGAGTGTCAAATAAAGACCTATGCATCGCTTTGTTACTGTGGAGTTGAGTGGTCTGCGAGATAAAGTAAAACTGAGTCAATGCTACTGTCAGGAATAACTCCTGAGTCAGCAATTAGATAATAAACTTCAAGGACACATGTACTAGGAGCTTCTAGACTGGCCCAGAAGTAACTGCCTTTGGTTTGGCCTCAAACCAGTGAATGTTCACCATCACTCAAAAAATATATTCTGGAAATAAAATGGGCAATGGCTTGACTACCCTCTTGACTCTTTTTTTAAAGAACTTTTTTGGGGGTAAACAACTGCCAAAAAGATATGCTGTCAGAATTTCAATGCAAAACTTGACATTTGTGTAAACAAACAAAGGGGAGGGCAGTTGGTGAGAGAACTCCTTTGTCTGTTCTATTGAACACTTCTTTAACTTCTGCTCACAGTCTGAATTTTCATTTTCTTAGTAAAGTTGTTGTTTAGATAATCTTTGGATGAGCTTCAGCATCAGGTGCCTTGTAGAGTTTTCTTGTTTCCTTATTACTGATACGATTAATTAATTTTGTTCATGTGAAACAAGCTAAAAAATGCTTCTTTCTGCTTGCAGAAATTTTTTGTTTCAATATCTTTAATAAACACTACAAAGGACTTGGTCATCCATGGAATTAGAGTGAAAGGAAGAAACCAAGACAAAAGTTGCTCACTAAAATAGTTTTCTGTTGCAATGAACTGATATCAAAATGTATAAAGTAGTAGGTGATTTATATGTATCTAATAGGGCTCAAGACAACATTATGTTACATCTAACTGACTGGGTCTAGTTATGTCTAAATGTATAGATTTTTTTATTGCAATAAACCTGATCATGGTGCTGTGGACAGTTGAAAGATTATTTCTGTATGCTTAGCGATGTTTATGGCGGGGCCATATAGTGTTCATGTCTGTCTTCCTTCTTCCTTCTGTCTATCCTGCCATCACTGCATTTAGCTTGGTTTTAAAGAATCTAAATAAGATAAATTTATCGAACTTCGAATGCTGATACAAATTGATTAGATCTATTCAGCTGCATTACCATTTGTGCCTTGACCTTCTTTTGACCTTGACCTCATATTTTCTTTAATTGAAGTTAAGTTAATTAAGTTTAAAAGCAACTATTCAAGATATTTCCATGAGACTCATTTGCTGATATATATGAATGAATAGTATTAATTTAAAACTTCATAAAAAATTTGTGACCTTTGATCATCATTCCTTTGACCTTGACTTTAGTCTCTTAAATTAGTGATTATCTCAATTCTAGAGACACTTGAGACATTTCATCAATACGTGTTTGCTTATATATGTATACATACTAACGATTGAGAGCTGAATAGTATTATGTCTAAACCATTAGACAGTTATCAATATTTTTGTCTCAACCATAATCAGAACAAAGCAAACATGCATTTGTTCATGCTAATTCAACAATGTCATCTTGATTTGACGTTGCATATTTCTCTATGTATATGAGTTTTAAAAAATATGACATTTAATAATGCAATT